CCTACTTTCACACATTTTTCCTCACACACTCATACATGCATATAATATACATGTATATAAATATGTTTGCATACACATATACCTGGATGTATTCACAGTCATCAGTTATTCTGCCCAAATATTTTCCTGAATTCTGACCAGACCAGTCTGTAGAACCATGTTTATATGCCACTAGACCCAGACTACAAGTTGGAGAGGGTTTTGAGTCTGTTGGGCAGAGGGAACAGCAACAACTAGAGAAACACCTTCTTCCCAAACTCAGCAACCCCAAGACACAGAAGAAAGTACAAAGCTATAAATTATATTATAGTGTTTGAGTCCGTCAACAAGCATTTATTTACACATTTTGTGGGGCTCAGGCCCAGCACCTTTCATTCCAACTCCTCTAGGTACCCATTGAAATCAACTCCCTAATGCTGTCCTCCATTTCTATTCCTACTCTCAGTACCCAAATACCTACTTATGTAACAGATGGGTCTCTCATTGTCTTCTGTTTTTCTTTCCCATAGGGGATCTTGGATCAGTTCCTGCCTCAGTTCTTTCAGCCCTCCCGGGTCAGTAACCACCGTCAAAGCCATAGGCTTGTGATGCCTTTCAGAATCTGACGATGTGTAATGGCTTAATATTGAGCTCCAGGAGTAGAAGACACTTGTCTCTTGGGATATTTGAGGGTTAAGAACATCCCAGCAATCAATTAAGGCAGTAAAAAGGCAAGAAAAAGTCCCCATGTTTTCATATGATGTTGGTGATCATTGAATTGTATTCCAAGAGTTCATGGAGCAGTAGGAGTTTGACACTAGATGGGCAGTTACCTGATCATTTTGGGGACAGCAGAGAGTAGGAAATCTAGTCCTTGATTGTTGCAGCCTAAGGTGGTAGGAACTGATGGCCACAGGCAGGCAGAAATGTTTTCTTAGCAAAAGTCCAGAGATAATGGCAATATCATAACAACAATAGCACAAAAAAGTCTTTCTAAGAGTCTACTACTCTACTCCTGAGTCAGAAGCAGCTGGAGATCAATGTGTCCTCTGCAATACTGGCCATTTACAGAGGAGCAGAATCCAGGCTTCTGTACAGTTATACCCACTTCTAACATCCTTTAGTGTCACTGTGGAGTGTAACATTGATCATATAGTACTTAATTTTTTCTGTTCCCTTCTTGCTTTTCAGGTTTTTTTATCTGCTCCCTCGGAGGAAGGGTAATACTTTAAGGTGTGATATTTTCTTTGGCTCCTGGCACTGGCTGCACCCATACTCCTTTCTCTAGGAAACAATAGGAAAGGCTGAACTCCTAGGAGAGTGAATTATACTCCCAGACCCAGTCTTACTCTCTGCCCTATTTTAAATTCCTGTATATTTTGAGCTAACCCCTAGTCTCCTTATATTTGAGGGAAAGAAGAAGAAAATAATTACCATTATTACCAGTTACTGATATGCAGGTGTAACCCAAACATTCCACAGAAGTGAGCTCCCTTGTTGATCTATTGATTATTAGGATACTCTTTGGTTTAATGCCTTGAGGCTTCCTCTATCTAAGCAGGCTGCCCAGGATTGGCTAAAAATATAAGAAATTTAAATTAAGGCAGAAAGCCAAACCTTTGTTGGAATGACAAGAATTTGCCTGAGGGCTCCACAATATTGTGATTGTACTAATAACTTTCAACTGATAGAAATTCAGGAAAATAGCTGAAATATATCCATGAGGTCTTGGGGAAGGGGAGAAGAGCATTACTTTGCCTCTAGGCTAAACATCAACCCAATTATCATGACAAGGTGTGAATTGTTAAATCTCTCTAGAGAAGATAGGAAGGAGGGCAGTGGTCAAAGAAAAGATCATGTGCTAAACCATACCCAGGAAAGAGATAGGAAAGGCCTGGGAAAGATTCAGTGCCATCCTGTCCACTATCAAGAATGGAGTAGAAAGGAGAGAGTACTGGCTGGTCAACTCCACACTCCGCACTGATAACCAAACATTCCACAGAAGTGAGCTCCCTTGTTGGTCTCTTGATTATTAGGATACTCTTTGGTTTAATGCCTTGAGACTTCCTCTATCTAAGCAAGCTGCCTCTCCCCCCAAGTCCTTATTTCTGGAGATCTGGGCAGTAAAAGAGCCTTGAATCTTCTGTTGAGTAAGAGTAAGTCTGGGGATACAACTCAATCTCACTGGAGTGCATGCTTGCCTGTTATTTCCTAGAAGCCACTCTTCTCTCCAAGCAGCCTCTGTGCTTGGAATGTGATAGATACTTGATAAATGCTTATTGATTGTTTGCTGCCTTTTGATTTTAGGGTAAGAAAATCCCATTGGGTCACAGTCATGTAATAGAGCTGAGATAGGGAGGGAGGGTCACCTCTATGCTTTTTCCTGTCAATCAAGAGAGGAGGAGTAGAGTTCAGTCACTGTTTCCTGATATTGGAGAAGAGCATCTGGGCCATGAGGAGAGTTTGCTAGAAACAAGAGAATGTTCAGGAGGCACCATTAGGTGGAGGAAGGAATTGAAGAGAAGGGGAGAGAGTGGATCTGGGAGAATGCAGCTAATGGAGGAGATTTGAACTGTGGTTGAGGAAAGGAGAAAAGAAAGAACCAGTAGAGAAAGGAAGAGGTGAAATGAAGTGGGTCAAGCTTTGATCAGGTGTTTTATCTCAGTAAGGAAAATATCTCATGAAGAGAATGATTAGACTGCTTGAGTTAAGAGAATTCCTTGAAGTCTGTGCTGAGTAAAGTTAAGAGAATTCCTTTGGAGTCTGTGCTGAGTAAGGTTAAGAGAATTCCTTGGGGTCTGTGCTGTCAGGAGCAGGAATGGAAGTCCTTTTCTTTTTTGAAATGAGTGCTAATTGTAAAGCATAATACCAGGTAGAGAAACAGGATTAAAAGTAGTCATTTTTTTGTTCAATTGTTTTCCAGTCGTGTCTGACTCTTTGTGAGCCCATTTGGAGTTTTCTTGGCTAAGATACTGGAGTAGTTTGCCATGTCCTTCTTGAGCTCATCCTAAAGATCTGGAACTGTTGCAGACAAGGTCAAGTGACTTTCCCAGGGTCCCACAGCTACTAAGTGTCTGAGGCCTATTTTGGACTCCAGAAGATGAATCTTTCTGATTCCTAGCCCCCTGCTTTATACACTGTGTCACTGCTGCCTCATCAGTAATTTGTACTTGTGCAGTCTACACAAAGCATGTGGATTTTTTCAAATAAACTTTTAATAGTCTTTTACATCTCCTAAACTTGCCCTAATACCTGGATATATAGATCTGAGTGCCACTTGTATAGGTAGAATATTTGAACACTTTGGGAAAGGGCTTATATTTATCCTGCATCACATCCTATTGGCATTCATTAAGTACTTACTGTATACTACTGTTCTTAAGGTTGAGAATATAAATAAAAGTAGATAGAAAGACAGTCTCTGCCCTCTAAGAGCTTATTCTCTAATTGGGGAAATAAAGACTTTGGGGAAGATACTTACCTGGGGGCACATTAGAGAAGGTTCTGAATGTAGCGTAGAGGAGAATGAAGAAGTTGCTAGCCTGAGTGCTTTCCTTTAATGGAAGTTCTTGGAGAAGCCATCCAATCTGAGGAAGTGGAAGGTACTTCCATTGTGTTAATTCTGTGACTGGAGTGAGTTCCCAGTCTGAAGTGGTTCTTGGGACATGGTAGAGGAAAATCAGAGTGTAGACTGGAGAGAAATGAAGACAGAACTAGGACAGGGTGTAGAAGGTACAGGAAGGCTGGTTTCAGTTCAGTAAAAGGCAGGACTCCCAACTGTTTAGAGCTGTCCAAAAAGTGAGAAGCAGCCACATGAGGCAGTGAATTCCTATCACTGGTGGTTGTTAGGAAGAACTTGGACAAACTCTTGTTGGGGATATTATAGAAATTTCCTACAGTGCTTTGCACACTATAGGCATTAAATCAATGTGCATTGAAATGAAAATAAGTATCTGCTCCAAGTAAAGACTTGATTTGATAACCTCTCAGGGCACTTGGCAAATGCAGTCATTCTGTGAATAGAGCACAAGGTCCTTGTCGCTAAAGAATAAAAACTATAAAAGGTAGTCAGTGAGGAGATCAAAATGGGTATAACAGATGGGGAAGTCTATAGGAGTTGAGAAATCACATGCCATTGGGATGATCAGAAAAAAAGCCTCACAAGGTGGTGGGATTTGTCTTGGGGAATGGACAAGATTTTGATAGAACAGAAGAGATAGTTTGTGGTGAGCACAGGACATTGCTCTGATTGCTGACTGCATTGTCACTGAAGTTTTCTTATGCCTGGAATTCTCTCCCTCTTCATCGCCATCTCGAGGCTTCCTGGCTTCCTTAAAGCCTTGGTTAAAATCCCATCTTCTTCAGGAAGCCTTCCCCAGTGTCCCCTATGATAGTGCTTTCCTGCTGAAATTATCTCTATTGCTGTCTTTGTCATGTTTGTACAACATTGTTTGCATGTCATTTCCCTTATTAGATTGTGAGCTTCTCAAGGACAGGGCCCGTTTTATCTTTCTTCATATCACCAGCTCTTAGCAGACTACCTGTAGGTAGTTGACATTGTAGTTGGCGTGTAGTTGACATTTAATAAATTTTTGCGGAGTTGAATTTTGACTTGAGTGGCTTAACATTAACTAAGCAGTGGAGGGTAGGAAGCTCATTGTATAATTGGGGAAACTGGGAGAAAATTAGGATAGATAAATAGGAAGGCCTTGAATTGTGGGATGAGCTTAGACTTTATCCTATGGACAAGACAGAAACATTGAAGGCTTCTGATCAGTGCTGTGATGTTGTCAAGGTTGTGTTTCAGAAAGATCAGTTAAGCTGAGGTTCAGGCAGGGTTTGGGGGCTTACCTTGGACACTAACAGATATGAGGTGAGAGCAGAGCCAAGGGGTAGCACTTCACCTCCATGTGGGCTCTGGGAACAATGATGCCCAAACCATTATCTCAGGGACTTTTCCCAAAAATACCCTAGCAGATTTACTCTTGAACATCTCTGTACTGTGTTTGTTATGACTTTAGATGAAAGAAATAAGTACCAAGAATGAATGAGAGAGAAATTCCAGCTCGTGAGGGACAGGAACTCTCGTCCTGGGGAGCATGAACTCTTTCACCACCGATTCACACAGCTGCTGCTTTTTCCAGAGTATCGTTGCAAGGAGCAAAAACAACATGAGCTCCTAGTCCAAAGATATGAATATGCTAAGATCATGGAGGAGCGAGGACAGATTATAGAGGTGTCAGCTTTATTTGATCCTGATAAAAAGACAGGCATCCTACCACATACAGTTGTGCTGCAGGGAGGTGCTGGTATTGGGAAAACCACCCTGGCCATCAAACTGTTATTGGAGTGGGCAGAGGGGAAACTCTACCAGGACAGGTTTGACTATGTTTTCTATCTCACTTGCAGAGGACTGAACCATTTAGGAGAGAGAGAAATCAGTTTTGCTGATTTAATTGCCAATGACTGGCCTGGACCACAGGCTCCCATGACAGAGATCATGTCCCAACCAGAGAGACTTCTGTTCATCATTGATGGTTTAGATGAACTGAAATTCCCCTCTAATGAGCACAGATATGATCTGTGTAAAGATTGGGAGCAGCAGAGGCCAGTGCCCATCCTGCTGAGCAGTTTACTAGGGAAATCCATGCTCCCTAAAGCCTCCTTGCTGCTCACTACAAGATTCACTGCTTTGGGGAAATTTATTCATTTGTTAGAGAATCCACGTCATGTGGAGATCCTGGGCTTCTCTGCAGAGCATAGGAAGGAGTATTTCTGCAAATTTTTCAGAAATAAGAATTTAGGTAAAAGAGCCTTTAGTTTAGTAAAAGGCAATGGTGCACTGTTCACCATGTGCTCTGTTCCTCTGATGGACTGGATTGTCTGCACTTGCCTAAAACAACAGATAGAGAAAGGACGAGATCTCATTCAGGCTTTGAAAACTACCACTGCCCTATCTGTGTATTATATCAGTTTAATCACACATAATGACAAGAACTTTATATCTCAGCATATGAGGGGCCTTTGTCAATTGGCTGCTGAGGGCTTTTGGGAGGAGAAAGTGCTGTTTGAGGAAGAGGACCTGAGGAGGCATAACTTAGAGGCAGCTGATGTCTCTGCCTTCTTAGACTTGAACATTTTTCAGAAAGACATTGACTGTGAAAACTACTACAGCTTCATTCACTTAAGTTTCCATGAGTTTTTTGCTGCCATGTTCTACGTGATGAGCACAGAAAAAGAAGAGGAAAAAAGCCCCAACTCCTCCATTCAAGATATCAAAAAATTTCTGGAGAAGTGTAGCCACTATGAAGCCAGATATGTGGTTCTGGTACTACGTTTTCTGTTTGGCTTCCTAAATGCAGAGACAGCAAAGAAGCTGGAGAGAAAGTTTGGATGTGGAATGTCACAGGAAATCAAGTCACAATTAATGCAGTGGATTGAAGAAGAAACCAAAAGAGATATTGAACAACCCTGGTTTTCTGCTTCTAATGTACCAAAATGGCATTCTCTTTTATATGAGATTCAAGTTGCTGAGTTTGTAACATAGCTGCTAGTTAACATCCAAGAAATCACAATAAATATTCGCTACCTCTATGAAGCCCTGAGTGCAGTTTACTGCATGAAGCACTGTCCTGGGGCACGGAAACTTTCCATGTGAGTATCTTCATTTCTTATATCCCGAAGCCTTTACTAGATCCTTTGCAGACAGATTGAACTATGGGTCTTTCTTCCGAGGGAGCCCAGCGTTCTCCTCTCAGCTTTGGAAATGTGGCCAGTCTAGATCGTTTCCCTGGTTTTTCTTTGCAGACACAGAGTTTTGGGACAAAGAGCCAAACACCAGGCGCTGCTGTGCTTTCCCTTTCCTTGTTCCTTTGTGAAAAACTAAGGTGGTGTTATTTTCCATCATTTGTTTGTGACCCCACTATAGGCAGACCAGATTGAATTAGTGATCTTTATATTGTGTTTAGAAGGAAGGAAATCTCTGCATAGATGATGCTATATATTCATCTGTGACAGGGAAAGAAAATGATAAAACCTGTGCACAGACTTTATATATCCAACTGAGACTCATTAAAGGATATTCTGTTCAGGTAACTGAAGTCCTGCAGAGTTGGGAGGAGGACAGGGGACTGGAGAGGAGGTGGTGGGGGTGGCATAATAAGAATTCCTAGGTCTGTATTCAGCAGCTTTCCTTTTTTGTAGAGGAAAAATCTTATTTCTGGTGTGTGTTACAGATGCTCCCTCTCTTTTAAGAGCTCTAAGATAGTGATTTGTTGGGGAGTAAATGGTATCGTAGCACCAGTTCTCTATTTTGGAATCCTTAAGAATGTCCATGGTTGAGGGGGCAAAGTAAGGAGAAGGGAAGGGAGGAAGAATAGGCCTCATTCCATGTCTCTTAGTGGTAGGAGCCCACTCTTCATGTCCTTGGCTGGATTCTAAGATACTCCCCCTTGCATTGGTGTTCCTGGGCTCATAAAGGACAAAGGTGGTAGTGCTTGTTTATGGTAGAATTTCAGATTCACCCTTAGCCTCCTCAGCCAGGCTCCTGATTCTGAAGCCTCCCCTGGAGGTGGAGGGAATTTTTTTTCTTGTTGCTTCCAATATTTTCTCCTTAACCTGGGTGCTTTGTAACTCGGCTATGATATTCCTGTAAGTTTTCTTCCTGGGATCTCTTTCAGGTAGTGATAGGTATGCTGTTTTTTTTCACCCTATTTCTGCTCTGTCTTCTTTTTCTAGAACCTTGGGGCAATTTTCCTTGACAATTTCTTGTAAATGATATATTGAGATTCTTTTTTAATCACAATTTTCAGGCAATCCAACTATTCTTATATTATTTCTCCTCAATCTGTTCTCTAGATCAGTTGTTTTTCTGAATATTCTTGCTCCAATCCTGTCTCAATTACTTCCCATAACTTGGTCTTTGGTCTGTGGAACCTGACCTCAGCTGCCAACTGTAATAGACTAAGATTTTAACCTCAGTTCCTTCCAGGCTTCTCATACCTCCAGAACTTGAGAGACAAAGTACTGTATCTTGCATTAAGTAATTGCAACTCAAAGACAGGAATGGGGAGCCATTTAGCTCTCACTCACTCAGCACCCCTAACTTTTCTACCTAATCCAAAGCTCAGGAAGAACCTGGAGTTCTGTCTGCTTTTATACCAAAGCTCCTCTTCTGTTCCCAGCTTTGGAGCTCCTACAAAGCTACCCCCATAACCCCTAACACCTGCTTCATTTCATCATATACCTTTTAAAGAATGGGAAGTAACCTAAGCAGGACTGGAGCAAGAATACCTCTGGATATATTGGTGTCAGAGGGAGAAGAGGGTATCTGTAGATGAGTAGAGTACAATAAGGGCAGACTAAATAACACAGACACCACATAAGATTGGATCCTAGGATGGAGTTGTTGCAGTTGAGGGGTTCTGGGAACCCTGAAGTATAAGAGTACAGGGCTTGGCTTTGCTTTGAAAGAATTCAACCACTCAAGCCTTCCAGTTAAAGTATTGAGTTTATTGTATCACTGGTTACATAGACAGGATTCCTAGTGAGTCTTTGCTATTTGTGACACCAATACAAATGGGCCAGATTCTAACAATCTGTGTATTTGATGAGGATGGGACTGATATTTTTATACAGAAAGACTGGGAAGATTTGGATGAGATCAAGGAGTGGCAAGTAACCTGGGATGGTCTGGAGGTAAAACAGAATGAAGGGTCTGGATTGGATTAAGTAGTGTCAAGTAAGCTAATTAAGTAATTAAGGTGGGCTGAGGTGGGCCAGATGTCTCAGGTGAACACCAGGGCTGAAATGTGTGAGAAAGTTCAAGGACTGTGGTCTTATCCTTTTTAGGGGTTCAGGTCCCATACCCTATCAGAGTCTCTGTTTTCCTTTCACTAATTGTATGATCTTGGGTGAGTTCATCTCTTTTAATTTCATTTTTCTTTTTGGAGGAATTCTTCCATTGCTTCTCTTATTGAAAAGTTGGTGTGTTTTTCATTGGTAATTAGGCTTTGATTTGTAGGATATGTCACCTTCATTTGAATCTTGAACTTTTTTCTTGTCAGATGACATGATTCCTTTTTTTCTGCATTTTTATGAATCCTGAATAATCTTGTGTTATTCAGATTTCATTTTCTTTATGTTTCAAAGTCTTTGTCTTGGTCATTTGCAGATTATTTATTTATTTATTTATTTGGCATTGCGCAGGTTAAGTTTAACCACTTTACATCTTGGAGTTTTCATCATAGTTTTTCCTGGAAGTGATCTATAGAGTTTTTGATAGGCACTTTGTTTTCTGTATTATCAACTGAGTAGTTTTCTTATGTTATTCCTTGTATGGTGATATATTTTGACTTATGTTCTTCTAGGAGCCCTATAAATTTTAAGTTGTCTCTACTCATACTGTCTTTGAGAACAACATGTTTTGCTTGTGCATAAATCATGAGTTCTTTTAATGTTTTTTTAAGTTTTTAAATTCATTTTAAACTTAAGTACAAAATAAGAAAAGAAAAAATATTACTATGTACACAACAGAGCATAAGAGAGGAGTTAATGTAAAACAATTTCAAGAAAACCTAAATAATAAATTCTACACATTTTTTTTAAAGCTGTCCAGCTTTGATTCCTTGTACGTTCTCTTTTGTTCTCTGCCATGCATTTTTTACTTTATTTTTTCCCTTCCCTTCCCTTCCTCTCATCTTCTCATATATACACACACACACATATACACACATGTACACATGTATGTGTATATGTATATATGTATACACACATATATATAACCATACTCTGCATATTTCCACTTGTCGTGTTTCTCTGAAGGTGGATAGCATCTTCCTTCATAAGCCCAAGTCTTTCCAAGGTTTTCCAAATCAACCAGGTCATCATGTCCTACACAACAAAAATATTACAATTCATTCACATTCTAAGAGATTTTCTATGAAAGTTTTTTCCCCAATTTTCTGCATTTCTTCTATTCTTGGCTCCGTGTTATATTTGTACAAGAAAATTTTAATTTAAAATAATCAAAATTATCTATTTTACATTTCAACAATGCTCTCACTTTATAATATAGTTTAATATCTGATATTACTCAGTCTGCTTCCTTTACATCTTTTTTCCCCTGGTTTCTTTGAAGTTTCTGACCTTTTGTTCTTCCAAATGAACTTTGTTATTATTTTTTTCTAACTTAGTAAGATTTTTTTTTTAGTAATTTAATTAGGACAGCATTATATAAATGGAAGAGGTGGGTAAATTTTTCATTTTTTTATTATATAGACCTTATCTATCCATGAACAATAAATATTACTTCAATTATTTAAAATCTAACTTTATTTATATAGAAAGTGTTTTATATTTATGGTCATATAGTTCCTGTGTCTGTTTTGCAGGTATACTCTCAGGTATTTTATACTGTTTGTTATTTTAAATGGTCTAAAACAATATTGAATAATATGTCTAACACATAGTTTCGTTTCCCTATTTTTGTCTTTTGACTGAATCTATTTTAGTTTTAATTTTACCTGAGATCGTGATTACTACCCCTACCTTTTTTACATAAAAATTCTACTCCTGACTTTTATTTTATATTTATGTGTATCTCTCATTTTTATTGCATTTCCTGAAAACAACATATTGTTGAATTCAAATTTTCAGTCTGCTGTTCCTATTTTATGGGTAAATTCGTCCCATTCACATTATAAACTATAATTATTTGTTGTATATTTTTCTCCTTCCTATCCTTCTCATCCTATTCCTATCCCTCCTCACTCTTCTGCTTTACTTCTACCTAACTTGTTCTCCTATTCCTTAACCTACCCACCCCTACAAGAATCCCTCCCTTATTCTCTCTCCCCCACTTTATCTCTTTGTCCTCTTGTTCTTTCTGAATTTAGAGACTATTATACCCTTTCAGATATATATGCTCCCTCTTTAACCCATTTCTGATGAGAGAAAGGTTTCATCACTACCTACCCTACCCCCTACTAGCTTCATCTGTATCAGTTTTTCATTTTTGCCTCATTTGTATGACATAATTGCTTCTTTTTTCTCTCCCTATGCAGTTTTATTTATTTTTTTGGGGGGGGGGAATCACCTTATCATACTCAGTTCAGCCCAAGACTTTCTTTTAAACTACTCAAATAAAAATGACAGTCACAAAAGAACTGATAATATTTTCTTATAAATAATTTACCTTATCGAATGTCTTCTAATTGGTTCTTAATGTTTACTTTCTATTTCTCCTGGATGATATACATTGAATTTTCCCTTAAGTTTTGCTGTTTTTGTCACAAATACCAGAAAGTCTTTCAGTTTGTTAGATGTCCATTTTTTTAAATTCAGGATTATACTTAACTTTGCTAGGTAAGTTACCCTTGGTCATAACCCCAGCTCCTTTGCTCTATGGAATATAGTATTCCAAGACCTACAGTCCTCAGTGTAGTAGCTTATAGGTCTCGTGTAATCCTTATTGTAGCTCCACAGTATTTAATTTTTTTCTTGTTGCTTCTAACATTTTCTCCTTAACCTGGGAGCTTTGTAACTTGGCTATAATATTCCTATAAGATTCCCTCCTAGGATCTCTTTCAGGTGGTGACAGGTGGGTTTTTTCTATTTCTGCTTTGTCTTCTTTTTCTATAACTTGGGGCAATTTT